ATAAATATAAGTTCCAGTTTCATGTAATGGTTAGTTAAGGCACCATACTAGAAGCTGGGTAATTGAACTCTAGTCCTGCTTTAGGTATGAAGTCAGCTGGGTGACACTCAGCCCTACAAAGACAACAGTGACAAATCATTTCCAAAACTCTTGCAAAAAAACCCTCCAAAACCTTGCAGGAACTCATCTAGACCAGTGTTTCTCAACCTTGACAATTTTAAGGCATGTGGACTTCAACTCCCAGAATTCCACAGCCAGCATTGCTGGCTGTGGAATTCTGGGAGTTGAAGTCCACATGCCTTAAAATTGCCACGGTTGAGAAACACTGATCTAGACAGTCATCAGGACTGACACAAAAACATCTTCCCTCCCAAATTTGAATACAACTTAGCTACAACTTTCAAAGACTTCTACGTATAATACTTTCAGCATTGAGATGCTTCCTATTTTACTCCCCCGCCCCCCAAAAAAGATTTTCTTTAAAAAAAAAAAAAAGTTAATAACCCTCCCAAACTACATTAGAATTGTTTTCTCTCATGTCATATAAAAATTCCTTTAAAAATAAAAATAATCTAACTTCCCTGCCATGTCATTCTTCCCCACCAAGAATGTAAATTTCAACCAAATACAAGACTAGTGATGATGAATAAAATCATATTCTCTATAAGACAAGCTATAAAAGCCCTTGTTTTTCAGTTGCTTGGAAGAATCATAAACATTTATATTCCCAGCATTAAATTAAGGAAAATAAGTTATCTTATCCTGAGCCAAGCTATTAACTTATCTAGCTATGGACTACCTGACTGGTAGTGGGTCTCCAGAGGTTCAGATAGTCTGTCAATTCTAAGTAGAAATGCTGGAACTAGTGTCCTTTCCTATGCAAAGCAGATTGTCTATGATTGTACTACATACCCCAGAGAGCAAAAAAGTAACTATCAAAGTGTGCCAGGTGGATCACTTAATTGCTGACCATTGAATCACTATAGAAGCCATTTGTTGTTGTTAGTTGCGAAATCATGTCCGACCCATCGCGACCCCATGGACAACATTCCTCCAGGCAGATCTTCTCGCTGATAACAGAAAAACTTGGAGTTGGTGGTTTGAATAACCATTTTCTAAATCTCTATCAGTCTTGGAATAAACTATGAAAATTCCTATAGTCCAGGGGTGTCAAACTGCCGGCCTGCGGGCCGGACGTGTCATCCAGAAGCCGCGCCAACCCCATTGCCGGCAATGGCAAAACTGTCCCGATACGTCTCGCGACGTCACATGACGTTGCGAGTTTGACATGTCTGCTATAGTCCATTCAAACGTTATTGCCAAATTGTAGGTTTTAAGAGGAGAGAGTTAATAAATGCATGTTGAGTAATTGTATTTGTGCATTTAACTAATTTTAAAGTTAAATTCAACCGTGCCTCAGCTCAAAAGTGTCTGAAAAGATGCTATCCATTTATAGAGTAAAGGCATTTAAGTAGAAAGGCTACAGAAGGAGTTAGAGAAGAGCCTACTGTGTCATGGTGAACAATAGACTGGCTTCTGTTGAGCCAATTTAATATGTAATCTGATTCAAAAAGAACACTTCTGGTGTTTGCATAAGTGGGTTCCAGTGATGTGTATTTTACTTCTTTTGTTGCTTGTGTATAGAATTCTAATTCAAACTATTTAAAACACTTCTCTTATTTGCTGTGTTCGAAAATTCCATACCAGTATCTCTAGTATAAAAGCTACAGGACTATAGAATTCTAATAACGGTTATTTAGACAATTAGTTGATAAAAGAGGTATAATTTCTTCTCCTCGAAATGTCAGGTGCCTCTATGGACATCATTTTCTGGCAGTGTGCAACCATGCTGTGAGGACAATTTTAAGATTGCAGGAAGGGATAACTAATTCAATTAAACTGCTGGAGGATTTTAGGTAGATCAAACAATATTTAAACCAGGGCTGTGAGAAAAATGGGTATTATGACTTACTCGTTTTGCAAAAGGATACTGCCATTCAAAAAGAAGCACATGGATAAAAACTGTGTGACTAAACACCTTTTTTTATCTGAGGAATTATGGATTTCCCCAAATCATGTCTTGCACTGAAGAGTTAATGGCTATATAATTCATTTGTAAAATTAAAAGAGTGTTAGCTCCACAGATTAAGCTGTGCTTCTCTGAGTTTCAGAGTTGGCTATAGCTAAGTACTCAGAACTGAGATCGTGTTTAACGTTCTGAATAATGCGGAAGCATATTTGTAGCCTAATCAGTGAATGCTTTCCTTAGAAAAAAAAGATGAACTTGCTAAATGAAGAATTGTGTCATTCTTTGAATACAAAAGGTTCAAGTGGTGGTTGACCGATTTGGGCTCTGCCTCCAAGCTTTCTGTGACTAGTAAAGAGTCGCCTTATAGGAAAGATGGACAGCATAAAATAAAGTTAAAGTCAAGTAAATAATAACATGAAATGAAATAAATAAAATAAAATAGTAGCTGGGAAAATTCCATTGTTGTTGGGCTCAACTGTGGCCATAATAGGAGGACTACGTGTATTGTCTCCTACTTTTTACAAGTGTTTAGGGTTTCCCTGCTTGAGCAGGAGGTTAGACTAGAAAGATCTCCAAGGTCCCTTCCAACTCTGCTGTTTTGTTATTCTGGTTTTCACGGTGAGTTTTGCTCTACAGACAAATTCAAATTCACTTGAAAGTTTGAGAAGTGCAGATTGGGTAGGTTCATCTAAAAATATAGACTAAATCTATTTTCCCTTCATCCTCATTTGAGTTATAGGAAACATCCCTTTTCAGAAAGAAATAGTATCTCTCAGTTCTCTATAGGCCATTCCCTGTTTGAGATATTATGTATGCTTTGAGAATTGCAGTTTTTAACATAACGAGGGAGGACCTGCTCAGTCCACGGAGTTCAGAGTTCCAGAATGGTCTTTGCGTCTCTGACATTTGGAACATTAAATGTTTTTGTCATATTTATTAGCTGTCCTTAATTGTGCAATTATGGTGGTATTACTATTATTATTATTATTATTATTATTATTATTATTATTATTATTATTATTATTTGTTAATTCTTCTCCCCATATGGATAGACTAATAGCTTCATGGTTTTTTCTCTTAATAAAACATCTCAGTCATGCTATGTTCTTTAGATCAAAATCAATGGCAGTATTCTTTTTTTTTTTTTTAAATAGTTGTCCGGATTTCAGGTATTTCAATAGAGACTTGGTTTTGTCACAGCTTGCATGTCAGTGAACTTCCTTGCTTTCTAGAGGTTACATGAGGCATTATTGATTTTTATGGGTAGTAATACCTCTGCTCATGCGAAAATGTTTCACTCTTCAGGGTGAAGGATGCTTCTTGTGGAATTGGTCAGGCGTAAGCCACTTTCTATCTATAGTGATTTCTTGCCATTCAGAATCATTACATTAAAATGCATGACTCTTTTTCTAAACGTATTTGATGAAGTTTGCAGACTTTCTGTGTTCCTGAAAATCATGACCAATGTCAAGCATGTTTTACTTTAACTGTTTATGTAAAGATATCCTTCATTAGCACTGCATCAACAATTACTTCCACATAGAGCTGTGCAGTGATCTAGATTTGAAAGAAAAAAGTGACCTAGAACACACATGGAATGGAATGGAATGGAATGGAATAACAGAGTTGGAAGGGATCTTGGAGGTCTTCTAGTCCAACCTCCTGCTCAGGCAGGAAACCCTATACCATTTCAGACAAATGGCTGTCCAGTCTCTTTTAAAAAAACTTCCAGTGTTGGAGTAGTCACAACTTCTGGAGGCAAGTTGTTCCACTAGTTAATTGTTCTAATGGAGATGCATGTCTCACCCGTTGGCATTTCCTTAAGATAATTTGTCTCTTCCTGAGTTGTATGAGCCCAGGAAAAGAAGTTTTGTTATTATAAGCAGGTACAATAAGTCAGTCACCTTTTCCCCATTTAAATCCTGATCTCTGCACAGCCGTATTGAACTGTTTTGATTCCCAGTTTCTTCATTCCCCTATTCTAATTTTTCTTGAGACACTGAAACTATTTGATAATTATTCTTGCGTTCATGCATATTGTCAGGAGAAAAATTAAAAGACTTATCCTATTGGTGATTAAACAGAAATGTGGTCCAGTCATTTTGCTAGTATGGCAGGAATGGGTGGCATGATTTATAGTGGTGTGTAAAATAATTCCATTTGAAACATTCCATTTTGAATTCAAAACAGCTCTTTCAAGTCAAAAATCATTTATTTTGCTTTTGAAACAAGGTATTTTAATCCTTTTGGAGGTGTTTTGAAACACCTTGTTTTGATGCTTGGAATTTAAGAGCAAGTATTTCAAAATAATTTGAGTATAGAACTTTTTACACATCTCTAGTGATTTGTATTTCAAAAACATATGGATTTTACGAATGATTGAAAATCTGAAGAGGATGTTTTCAAACAAATTTATTTGCTCCTAATTCCAAACTTTGTGCTAAAAACTCCCTCTGGGACTCATGAAACATGGGTAGAAACTACATAGGTATTAAAAAGGTGAGCACTAGATCCTTTTGATACATGCAATGCATAGGAAGCTTAAATGAAATAGCGTCTGCATTTTTTCTTTTGCCTATTCATCAGATGTAGCATTAGAACTGCAGGTTTTTATTTTGTGGCGGAGATACTCAAGGAAAATGATGTCTTGATTCTCAAGACTGAAAATAAGATTTGATAATTTAGTATAGATACAGACGTCATACATTTTGTATACTAAGAATGCTAAGTTAATTATGATGGAAGCAGACTGACAAAAATACCACATATTCATGTGGCCAGTAGATCAGTTTGATGTCTGTCCTAGTAATTCTCAAATGTGAGACTTGAGTTCTGGCTATAATATGGTTGTTATTAAATGGTGCCTTTTCAATCTTCCTCTTGGGAATTATTCCAGAAATGGTGAAAGATTAAATCTTGATCTGAAAAGCAAAACCTTGTATTAGTTGTTCACCTCTTGCTTGTCTTGTAGATAGCTGCAAGTCCCTGGACCAGCTGAGCCTCACAATCCCAGTGGCAGGACATCCCGTTTCACCTGCCCATCCTCTCTCAGGATGTCCGGTACCCAGTGTGCCACCAGCTGCAGAACCTGTTCCTCACCTACAGACGCCAAACTCCGAGCCCCAGACTATGGCCCGCGAATGCCCGCAGAGCTCCAAGCCACCCAGCGGCTCTAAATCCGGCCTCCGGAACACCACTAGCTGCTTGCACGTATCTGACAGCAAAACAGTCGGAAGTCACCTGCATCCAAAGCAGCAACGCATCAACCGGAGGAGAGCCACAAATGGTTGGATACCCATTGGAGCGGCATCTGAGAAGGCTGTCTACGTTGTGGTAAGCGTTCTGCAAATGACTTTTCTTGTTAGCAAGCAGAGCTAAGAATGAATATTAAAAAAAAAATAATGAAGCGGTGTACAGTAAAGAAGCCAAACAATTTAGGTTGCATCAGGATTGTTTGTGACAGAATGTTTTATTGCCTTTCGGTGTAGAAGAAAAGAATCTTTGCCTTTACTGTAATCATTGTAATCCAAATCTTAGCTATTTGGGACAGGAGCAGAATGCCTTGTAGCAGTTTCTCCGCGAAGATAGCAAGGCAAAGAGGCTAGTCATAGCTTGCCTTTGAATTAAGATTCTTGCTCTGATTATTTTTAAAGTATACTTTTCTTTGAGAAATATATTGGAAGAACTTCCCTAGAGGATATTTAAATGACCTTTTTTTAAAAAAAAAAATCCCAGAAAAATGGTAGATTTTTCTAAAAACTAAGTTAAACTGGAAATTTATAGATTATTTATACTTATACGTATATGTGTTTGTATAGGAGAAATAAATATTAGGTGCTGAAATGAAGTATATTGCACTTGTTGTTAAGGAAGTACTGTATCTCTTTCAGAGTGCTGTTCACAGCAAAGTTTTCAAACATCAGCCATCTTCTCTACGCAGTAAAATAACTGTCCTAATATTGGAAGCCAGTTTAGTCTAGTGCAGGGGTAGGCAACCTTGGCTCTTTTATGACTTGTGGACTTCATGGCAGGCTCAGGAATTCTGGGAGTTGAAGTCCACGAGTCATAAAAGAGCCAAGGTTGCCTACGCCTGGTGTAGTGGTTAAGCCGCCCTGAGTCCGAAAGGAGAAGGGCGGGATATAAATACAATTAATAAATAAATAAATAAATAAATAAGGCATCGGGCTACAAACCAGGAGGCTGAATTCTAATCCCACCATAGGCATGAAAGCCCTCAGGGTGATGTTGAGCCAGTCACTCTCTCTCAGACCAACTAACCTAACTGGGTTATTGTTTTAGGGAAATTAAGAGTGAGTAGAAAGTAGGAAGGAGTATTAGGTATGATAGTTGCCTTGAGTTATTTATTAAAACAATCTCGTCTCTCATGTCAGAAATTCAGGAACTAGAACAGTGATGGCGAACCTTTTAGAGACTGAGTGCCCAAACTGCAACCCAAAACCCACTTATCCATCATCGAGTGCCGGGTGGGTGTGGCCCATTGGCTGGGCGTGGCCCATTGGCTGGCCGTGGCTGCGGTGGTAATGGCAGACTGGGTGGGACTAAAAAGTTCAATCAATCAATTCCAACTTTGCAAGATCTTTTTTTTTCCCGCGAGAAGTTGAAATTGACTGATTGAACTTTTTTTTTTTTTTGCACACTGCGGCGGAGTGTGCAAAAGCGAAAAGTTTTATAAAACCCAGCTGAAGGCCTAGGATTGGGGCGACGGCGCGCGTGCCCACAGAGAGGGCTCTGAGTGCCGCCTCTGGCACCTGTGCCATAGGTTCGCCACCACTGAACTAGAAAGAGGAAATTATTAATTTAAATTTAAAAAGATTAAAATCTTTAATAAAAAAATTATAGAGTTCTAGCCCAGTGTTGGGCCACATTGATAGCAGGGATATTTCTGAGCAGCATGTCATTCTTTATGCATGTCGGTCCCAGAGTTATTATAATTTTATAATAATATAAATTTACAGTAATTTTATAAATGTATAAATATAATTATAGAAGTATAGAAATATACTATAGAAATATTTGTAAATTATAAACAGTTTATAAATCTATATTATAAATTGATATTATAAAAATAATAAAGGCAAGATTAAAAATGTTTTTAAAAAGCTGAAGCCTAAGAAAGTACAATTCCTGTTTAAAAATTTAGTAAAGTTTGGTGATTGTCCACAACTACATCTTTAAAAAAAAAACAAAAAAAACTTCCTGCAAAGACAGAGGTGACCAATTTCTGAAAGCCTTCAGAAGGCTGTCTGATGATGCAACCAGAGAAAAAAATATTTGTGTCCCAATTATTTGTTTGTTTTGTGGGTTGTGTAGATAGGAATGAAAATCAGAGGCAGCTGAGAGCCAACTGGTACAATTCTTAACTATAATACCTTTGAAACAGAATGGAAAAATGATCCTTTTTTAACTAGTGCTTTGGGGTTTGGGAAGTTTAAAGGAATGGGAGCTAGAGACACTGTTATTGTTCTTATTCTTTAAATCCTCCAAAAATCTGAAAAACATTCTAAAACTGCAGCACTAGTATTCACCCATTTTGCCACCAAATATAACATTGGAATTACGTATATTCAAATTCTGTAAACACTTCAAAATGGCTTATGAGACAATTACTGTGGTTACAATCTCCTAAATAATTGATCATTTGATGGACTTTAATGGAGTTCTGCAATCTGCGATTGGAGGAAAGCGCTACAACAGCGGCTCCCAACCTTTTGGGCACCAGGTACCGGTTCCGTGGAGAGAGGTTTTTCCACAGACCGGAAGGAGCGTGGTTTCATGTGCGGCCTGCATCCAGTGGATGGGGCTTCGCTTGTTTGTGCGACCCAGTTTATGACATGCCACAGCCCAGTGCCAGTCCATGGACCGGGGGTTGTGGACCCCTGCCCTATAGAACAACGTATTCTATAAAATCACTTAGAGATAGTCCTTGACTTAAGAGAGCAATTGGGAGTGAAATTTCCATTGTTAAGCAATGCAATTGTAAAATGTGACCACACTGTTTAGCAACGGCAATCCCTGCAGTCATGATTGCAGTCATTAACCAGTTCCCATAGTCATTAGGTAGTTATGGTCAGCATAACCATTTCACCCCTCTGGGACTGGTCTCCCCACCTGTGCTGGCAGAGAAGGCATTTTGCGGACCCCATTAGTCAAGGAATTCCAGCTACCAGGGTCCAGAAAAAGGGTCTTCTCTGTGGTGGCTCCTGTCCTTTGGCACATCTTAACTCCTGAGGTGAGATCAGCTCTCACCCTTCTGACCTTCTGCAAGAGCCTGAAGACCTGGTTAATCTATTAACCTGGTGGTTAATAGATTAAGAGGCAACCCTATCCCCCCCCCCCGGTATCCTGTTCCCTCCCTCCCCATCTTTTAATTTTATTTTGATTGCGATTTCCATTTTTATTGCTTTAGAAATATTTATCTGTCAGGATTTTAATATTGTAAGACATCCAGAGATGTTTTGATACAAGATGGGTGGCAAATAAATAAACAAACAAACAAACAAACAAATAAATAAATGTCAGTGTGATGGGGCGGGGGAAGGGTACATGGGTGGGAGAGATACGTTCCAGCGACTAGCAATCTTTCCTGCTAGCATCCACATTGCCCTTCTTGAGAAGCAGCAGGGAAAGAAAACACATGATCATGAGGTACTGCAATTGATTGTGAGTGCAGATTGGTTACCAAGTGACCAAATCTTAATCACATGACTGCAACGGTGCTGGGAAAAGACAGAACTCCGAGGTCCATTTGTTGGTTTGGATGTAGGTGGAAGACTACTTTGTATTCAATGTGCTTTCTATTTATGCTTCTTTCTTCTGAAATTCAGCCCTTGCAATCTTTTTTCCAGTTCAGATTCTCTCATTTTTATTTCTATTTGGCACTCATGGCCACGTTTTACAAATTATATTCCTGTGGATATGCCTTGATATCCAACTTCTGTCAGTAAATGCTAAGTCTGTGCAGAATAAGACTATACCCATTCATGACATAGTAGTAGATAAAGCACAGATCTAGCCAAAGTAATAAATGAGGCTACTCCCATGAAGCTTTTTTTGGTCACCATGATGTAAAAAAGATGTTGAGACTCTAGGAAGAGTGCAGAGAAGAGCAGCAAAGATGATTAGGATGACTGGAGGCTAAAACATATAAGGAACGGTTGCTGGAATTGGGTATGTCTACTTTAATGAACAGAAGGACTAGGGGTGACCATAATAGCAGTGTTCCAATATCTCAGGGGTTGCCACAAAGAAGAGGAAGTCAGGCTATTCTCCAAAGCGCCAGAAGGCAGGATAAGAAGCAACGGATGGAAACTAATGAAGAAGAGAAGCAACCTAGAACTAAGGAGAAACTTCCTGACAGTTAGAACAATTAATCAGTGGAACAACCTGCCTCCAGAAGCTGTGAATGCTCCAACACTGGAAGTTTTTAAGAAGAGACTGGACAATCATTTGTCTGAAATGGTATAGGGTTTCCTGCCTAAGCAGGGGGTTGGACTAGAAGACCTCCAAGGTCCCTTCCAACTCTGTTATTCTATTCTATTCTATTCTATTCTATTCCATTCCATTCCATTCCATTCCTATCCCTACCCCTACCCCTACTCCTACTCCTACTCCTATTCCTATTCCTATTCTCCAGTCACTGTCCCAGACAGTTTCTTGGTTTTCTGAAGAGTTGAGGGAAATGAAGTGACTGAAAAAAATGTTTGTGGCCAAAACCCAGAAACCATAACCAAACTTTGGTAAGAACTCATGTTTTGAGAACCCTCCGTGGTGATGCAAAGAGCAAGTGTCTTCTCTGCAGTTATTGTATCCATTGATTCTGTCTAGCAACTATGTTCAGAGTGACCAAAAATCTTTTAGGAAAGGATGGGTAGAACAAATTCCCTGCAGACACAGTGCATAAATTAGAGAGTTTCCTTGTAGATAAAGTAACCTCTGTCTGCTCTGGTGTGGATGCTGGATGGGGAGAGTCCATTTCAGAGAGTGAGGCATTGCTTGGTGTTGCTACTTAGAATACATTTGATCTTATGGAGCCCAAGGAAGTAGATTGAATCCTCTTTAATACTAAATCTGCTTCCTGCATGTCCTTTCTGGCTTTTTTTGGTGGCATGGGGAGAGGTAAGTAGCTAACTCCTAGAGATCATCTTGGGGCAGGCATAATGCCACCTGCCTTAAAGAAGGGTGGTAGTGGTGACCCTTTGAGAGCTGTATGCAATGAAATTTCAATTTAATGTATGCCGATTAGTGTACATTTAAAGTGACAATAAAGCTACTCTACTCTACTCTAATCTAATCTAATCTAATCTACTGTCTCCCATTAGGAGAATTCTTGCCTAGATTCTAATCTCTTTCCTTCTTCAAACATGTGGTGAGAAATTAGCAACAAGAGATTCCTAGATGAAATTTTTCCATCAGGATTCATACTTGATCATGGGACAGAAATGGCATTGGTCGCTGGAACTTCAGTGGTAGTGGTGGGGAGTGCATCTCACATCAGTATTTCATACCGATGTCTGTCCGGAAACTGTGTGGGAGTGATTTTGAGGAAGTGTCATTGACATAAATCTTAAATTTTTACAGGGTTATTTTCTCCAGTTTGAGAATAAGCTTTCCCAGAATGTGATTCTTTCTTTGAGCATCATTTTTACTCCAGATCTCATTACTTTGAATACCAGGATTGGTAACTTATTTCTCACAGATTTATTTCGGCAATTCCATTTTATTTTGTGACCACACTATTGTAAACATTCTAAAAACCTATTTTCAGAGGAATTCTAAAAGCACAGGAAATATGGTGTAACATACTTTTTCTGGTAACACATGGAACATATTAGAAATGTACAATAGCAGTGAGAGAGGGAGAACTGTTATCTATGGATAAATCTATATAAAAGTGTGCATTTAAGTACAGACTATGTAGCTAGAGTTGGTATCAACTTTTCCATTTTGAAACTTCTAACTATAACACACATTTTGTATAGATTTTTACTGTGTGTGTGAGCAAAGATATACCATAGCATTAAAACATTTCATTATGTGGGAATATCCACATATGTCCAAACATAGATGTTTGGTAATAGTATCTACAGCGGACCAATTATTTATACTTTTCCTTCTGTTCAATCCTTGGAGTGCCTGGATCAGTCTCTGCATTTTTTTTGGGCAAGGTTTTTCAGAAGTGTTTTAGCCTCCTTCCTAAGGCTGAGAGAAAATGACTCACCCAATGTCACCCAGCTGGCTTGGTGCCCAAGGTGGAACTAGAACTCATAGCCTCCCGATTCCTAGCCTTGTACCTTTACCACTACACTCCTAGCCTTGTACCTTTACCACTACACCATACTGACTCTAACAGGACAAATATCTGGCAACAATTCTCACATGGCAAAACAAATGTTTCAATGCACATCTTGGGAACCTGCAAATAAGGATTTAAAAGTGTAGTGGGCATGGTCCTTTAATCATTTAACTTTGCAGCTAGGAGCAATTCAGTATCAGTGGACTCACAATAATGATTTCTACACCAGACAGGTTAAAATGCATTAATGGGGGTATTAGCCCTGCAGTCTCCCACAGAGCCAGGCATGAAGAAGCTCCCCTTTTGGCCGGCCTTTTATCCTTAAAATAAATCTAAACTAAGTAAAGTGACTTGAATATTTCTTCTTCCCGGCTTTAGTAATCATTACCTTTCATTTGAGGAGCATGTTTTGCTTCTGAAATTAACCCGCTGGGAAGAGAGAAGCATCCTGCTGTTTTGTATGATCCGTCTTCTCCACGGGCTCTTTAGCAATAAAGACACCCTTTTTTGGCAGGAAGCTGTCTACTTGGCGTAGGTGGATTAGTGGAGGATGCTGATGTCTGTTTCTTAGTATTGTTTTTGCAGACTCACTCCTTTTCTTGGCGCTCTCTCTTGTCAATATTTGCAGAACGAGCCAGAACCAGCTGTTCGTAAGAGCTACCAGGCCGTGGAAAGAGATGGAGAAATCATTCGGGTTCGGGATACAGTCCTTCTGAAATCGGGGCCACGGAAGAAATCGATGCCTTATGTGGCTAAGATATCCGCTCTATGGGAAGACCCCAAAACAGGTATTGAGCACAGAAATGGGCTCTCTCTTGAACAGGCTGTCAAGGTGAGATGGCCAATTATATGATGGATATTAGCTGTGTAATGATGTATTTGTTTACAAAAGATTTGTGGAGTTGGGAGTGGGCACAGGGGGTGTCTGAAAAATCATCCTGCATCTCGTTCCCTGTCCCCAGTGTGACAGAAATCCCTAGAATGTAAAAGGCATATAAATGATTCAGACAACTCTTCTGTATCCATGATGGTAGTACTTGCAAGCTTGGGTCAGGTCAGGAAGATCCAAGATAGGAAGTTAAATTAACCTTGAAGTCCAATTGGCAACCTGTGGAGCTTTCTTTCATTTGCATCATCCCCTTTAATAACACAATTGATGTCTATAGAAATTCTCAGTTATCCAGGTCATGATTGTCCCAAGGTGTTTTTTCAAAAGGCAACTGAACTTTGTTTTTTTTCCTTGAAGACGTTTCGCTTCTCATCCAAGAACTGAACTGAACTGAAGAAGCTTGTTGGGTGAGAAGCGAAACGTCTTTAAGAAAAAGACAAAGTCCAGTTGCCTTTTGAATTGGGACAATACAATTGATGGTGATCCCTAACCATTAGCCCAATATGGGCTAAATCCCCAAATTATTTTTATTTCTTATTTCCATTTCTATGGCAGCACGGCCTTTGTTTAGTACTATTGTAGAGCAATCAAGCAAAGAGAAATCAAGTTATCTTCCGTTTCCCAGATGACAGACTATGGAGAATGTTAGCCTAATTAGAGTTTCAAGACATTCCGGCTGTGGAAATATTTTGTGGGAGCTGCTGTTTCTGATGTCAGCTTGGCAAAATCAGTGCAGCTCTTTTTTTCAGTTGGCAAGAAGGTGCCTTACTACTAAAATTAAAGGCATTTGGAGCCTTCTGCTCTGAAATGAAGGCAAGAGTAATCAGCCACTGTCCCTGAATTAGATTTTGTATGGGCAAAAGTGCCTATGTCTCTTGCAGCAGATAATTACATCTAATTGGTCAGTAGTCACCCATACGTCACCCCCCCCCCAAAAAAATATCCCAAAGTGGAATCTTTTTGAAGCTTTTCAGCTTAATTTATTTCCTAAGAATCTTTAGACATTGGTTCTAATAATTGGGGATATACACCCTGGAAACCATTGCACTGATTTTGCCAAGTTGACATCAGAAACAGCAACTCCCACAAATTTCCACAGCCAGAATGTCTTGAACGTCTAATTAGGCTAACATTCTCTGTAGTCATCTGAGAAATGGAAGATAACTTGATTTCTGTTTACTTGATTGTCATACGGTCGTACTAAATAAAGGCCATGCTGCCAGAGAATTGGAAATAAGAAATAAAAATATTTTGGGGATATAGGTGGTTCCTTCACCATTTGGTTTAGTGGTTAGGGATCTCCATGAATTGTAGTATTGATGAAAGTAGATAGGCCATTTTTAAAATGCTGTCACTGAAGCCAGTTAGACCAGTGGTTCTCAACCTTTTTAATGCCGCGACCCCCAACTGGTCGTAAGTCGAGGACTAAACCGGTCATAAGTCGAGGACTTTCCCTGCCTGGGAGCACCGCGCATGCGTGGTTCTGCCCCGTGCGCCGGCCGAGGCGTAGCTGGCAAGTGGCAGAGACAGAGCAGGCCAACCACCAGCTGGCCCAGCTCAAGGGAGGTAAGGCACCCGCCGGAAAAAGGGGAAAAAATGGCGGACAGCCTTGCTTGGCGACCCCCGTGAAATGGTCGATCAACCCCAAATGGGGTCCCGACCCATAGGTTGAGAACCACTGAGTTAGACTATACAGGACATGTCTCCATAGCTAAGGATATAGGGGAAGGGACTATACTGTTAACATGCAGCGCAAGCAGGCAGTTTGTGTTGCTGAATTTGAATCAGTTCACGATCGCAGAGTTATTTCCACATATTTTAAAAATGCAAACATGCCCAGTAAAGCTAGGGGCAAAAAGAAAATTAGAAGGTTGGCACGGGGCACTCACTTCACGTTAACATCTCTTTCAATTGCAAAGCAGGCTGACATTTCTATGGATTGAGGTGGCATGATCTCTCTTCTTTGTGCATCACACACATGGGTGATGAGTCTTCAGAGAGTCGGTGGTGGAAATTTCTAGAACTGCAGATGGTTTCTTTCGAAACTTAACATCCAGTCCACATTTGAGAATGTTCTCCATTCCTTCTTGACGCTATAGCAGTGTTTCTCAACCTTGACAATTTTAAGGCATGTGGACTTCAACTCCCAGAATTCCACAGCCAGCAATGCTGGCTGTGGGATTCTGGGAGTTGAAGTCCACATGCCTTAAAATTGTCAAGGTTGAGAAACACTGCGCTATAGCATCATCTGGATTCTTCCCTTCTCAAAAATGTGCTTAATGATTCAGAGGTTGTTTTTATTATTTTTGCTTGCTCCCCTGCATCTTTCACTGAGGCAAGGCTTTGAAGGAGTCCTCTGCAGATGTGGAGCAAAGGCACACTTCAAAAGCTATGCTAACAAATTGCTCCCTACCAACAATCATTTTTTTTCTGTCTGCTAAGACTACGATAGGTTCATAGGTTCATAGAAATCTGTCTTGATTGTTAAGTAAGCTTGAAAAAACACCATTTGCCCAAGTGCCGGGCTCTGTTTACATGCAAAGGTCATTCTCATATCTGTTTGGGCTTCAGAGATTATGACATTGGAAACTATGCCAGTCACTTCAGAATCAATAGCTCCAATTTGATCTTCAGTGCCAACCACTCATACGGGTTCAGACTCAACCTGTGTGCTGATCTCATACATTTTTTACTGTTTCAAGCAGGTTACTGAATTTCTCATTCCAGTCATTTGTCCAGTGATTTTCCTGGTTAAAAAAAGTCTTCAGTACAAAATTCCCTCTTTGATACTGATGGTCTATATCAGGGATAGGCAACCTTGGCTCTTTTATGACTCGTGGACTTCAACTCCCAGAATTCCTGAGCCAACATGGCTGGCTCAGGAATTCTGGGAGTTGAAGTCCACGAGTCATAAAAGAGCCAAGGTTGCCTACTCCTGGTCTATATGATTATGTGTCCTCTTTTGGGCTTCATTCAACTGCATCACTTGAGAGGATTCATTTGCCATAGCCCTCTCCTTGCCTCCAGCTTTGATAGAATCTGAATGATTTTCTAACACAGAGATTTAATACTCCAGACAAGTTGCCAAGAAATCGTGTTCTTTTCAGTCCAGGTTATCCTGATCTCACTAAGAGTTCCCAGGAACGCAACTCTTACTAATACACTCATCTGATGAAGGATTTTTATATAGACTAGTATAGATCCTGTTTCTCCATTTTTCTTCCTGGCATTGTTATCCTTCCATGTAATATGACCAGTGGCATAATTTAGAGACCAGATTTCAGTGTGAATTCTACCACTCTGCTCCATTGGACACCACCATTGATACCTTCAAATTTTGCCTGCATATGTTCAGTCAAATTCTGAAAATTATTACTTTGACACTTCTTCCACTTAATCAGACCACATATTTCACTCTTTCATTCTTCTCCTGACTCAATAGAATTTATTTTCTTAATATCAAAGTGCCTTGAGAACCTGCAGGAAATTTAAGGGTATTAATACTATCTTCTCTTTTAGCACTTGATACCAAATTCTATTATTGTAAGATGCTTCTCAAATCTCAGGCTTACTAAATCCAGTGTATTGAAGGGGAAGCTGTTACATCAGATTCCTGGGTTCTTATTATAATTTGAGTAAGTAGTACAATCTCCTTTAGGATTTGTTTGTCATTCTCCCTTATTCTTCATGTTAAGGTTCTTGAGATCTTCCAGAAGTTTGCAGTAAAGTCAGCCACATGTATTCTAGACTTCAAAGCTTTTACTTCAATGGTTTCTTTAGAGATGGTAAAAAAGATGAATTTAAGAAACTGAAACACTTCACTTTGTGATCAAAAAAATCTATCTGATGATTCTTCAAAACCTCCTGCCTTTACTAAAATTGGTTTGTATTAATTGGATTACAACATGCCTCTTCTCACATTACAAAAGTTACAATGCAGGAAATATTTTTCAATAGATGTTCTTTTCTTTAGTTCCTAAGGTGTACCATGATTACTCATCTCCGTCTTCTCATTATCTAACTATATCTGTCATAGACAATTGTTGCTCTTTTTAATTCATCTTTCAAAACAGAACTCTTCATCTTCTCCATCTCTCAGGCTTTGAGATGTCTTGTTTGCATTTTGCTGTATCGTTTCCCTTCATAGGCGCAATTCTAGATTCATACTGGCCAGACTACTCTGGAAAAATGCTGTGAGCTTTCCCCAGCTGGTTCAATAAATACCGCGACTAGTGGATTATGGCAGTTTCTATTTCAGGATTTAGTGCACAAAGCTTTCTGTATTTAACTGTTCTCAGTTTTAACTCCCACAATCATCAACTGAAAAGCTGACTTTGTCACCTGTGTCCAGCTTACACTTCATTCTCGTGTAGGGTTGAATCCTCTCTGAAGATTCACAACTGACATCCCCATCATAGCTGAATTACCCACTGTAAAAGCTTCCAAATTAATGAATATGGATGCCACCTGTTTGCTCTTATTATGTTAATCATCTAGAATTTTTGGCATTCTTCGAGTATGTACAGTCCTGTGTTTTGGAATCAGGTGTACCAGGGTTTTTTGTAAATCAACAAAAATGCAGAACACACTCCTCATTCATGTTGCAACTAATCTAGGATATTGGTGTTTAATCCACAAATGATTCTCCCAACCCATGACAAGGAAGGGAATTAATAGCCTGACCCAACAACCCTTCAGATAGCAGCATGGTTTTTTTTACAGTTCTCTTTAAAAGTAAGGACTGTGTCACGCAACTTGACCAAACAGTGTTTATACTAATAAAGAAGCTTCTTTTTCTACTTGTATTTCTGCCATTGGAATATTTCAATGTTCATCACAGTGTACATTTAAATTCTACTTTTTTTTGGGGGGTGAGGTCAGCAAAACTTTCCTTAAGTTTTATACATACGTATTTAGCAGCCATTTTGCCTGCCATATAGAAGTGATCGTTTCTTGCTTGGTGTTCTCTTCTTTTATCAATGATCTCATTGCCTTTTACCCTGTTAAATCACCACTTCATCGTTTGTCTCTTGTTTTTTTCCTGTTTGATTGCAAAATTCAAACAACGGTTCTACAACTTCTTAACTTTAAAACTGTATCAGTTACTTCAGCTTGCACTCCCCATTTCTTGAGTGTTGATCAGTTCTATTTCTGATGTAACGATTTCATTAAAAAAAAAATCACAAAGCTCCCATCAGCCTTTCTCTCCAAGCTAATTTCTTTTGCTGTCCATGCCTAAGGAGCAATCCCTTTGCTTCCCGGACATCACTCACACTTTGGCCAATTATGTTGGCTGTGCTGCTTCCTTTCACCCTTCCTCTCAACTGCTTCTGTGAGGTGAGTTGCCCATGAAGAGTTTCTCAGTGTCGTTGCAAATGGTTTGCCAAATAGATGACAGTTATAACTCTGCAAAGCCTCTTTGCCATCCCATGGTCCACCAACTCTTCTTCTACTACAGCCTTTGCCTCCTGGCCAATCAGTGGTCCACTAAGTCCCATTCCGGAACCTTTCTTATTCTCTCATTGTCTGTGTTTTGCAAAATCACCACCTAATTGTAGCTTTCTACATCATAGAAATCCAAAAACTGCATGTAACCCTCACCTTCCTACTTCAACTCCAAGAGCTGTTCCCTCAGTAGGGGTGGGAGGCTGGGTGAACATTTTAAACCTTTTTCCTCATGCGATGAGCTTGGGCTGTTAAATTTCATTTAAAACCAGCAAGAAGTTGTGGACCGTGTGGCCTTCATTAAACATTATTATCTTGATATTAGAATTGGAACTTCGTTGTGGGCAATGACCCACCTTCAGTTCACTTACTCATATGTGTGTTGCACAAGGAACTATGAGAATAATAGTTTGCTTATACAACCCGCACACCACCCTTGCCTCAAGTAGACTACCTGTTTTATTCTTCAGTCTGGGGAAACTTAGGTGAGAATTTCCCACTAAAAACATCCCCTACAGCTCTCACCAGCTTCTAGTGTTGGTTATGCATGGGTGCATTGCCCATATATTTGAATGCACTAATGACCACTATTAAAGGTAAGCAGACTGTCTTTATATTCTGACTTCATGCTGGTGTATTGGAGTATTTTTTTAAAAAACCACTTTATTCTTTTCTAGGGGAATTGATGATGAGCCTCCTGTGGTACTATAGACCAGAGCACACTCAGGGAGGCCGTAATTCTAGCATGCATCAGGTGAGTGTTCGGCCATGATGATCAGGAATGGAAGTCCTGAACATTAAAACGAGTCCAGAAAGGCTGCTTGATGGTTCTGTGATGGTTCTGATGTTTCTAATCCTCCTTCAACCACTTATTTGCAAATAAAAGGAGGATCGTTTTACAAATGCTTAGTGTTTATTTTACAGTTGGGCCACTTCTTTCTAGACATGGGAATATTTCTGCTGTTTCATAAGCTGGAAAAAGTAGCAAAGACTACATTAAAGACTAACACATTTATTGCTTTGGGTGTTTCTGCTGTACCAAACTAACATAGCTGCTCTCTGGAATAAGTTGACAAGTAATTTGAGTGGCAAGGCATTTAAAGACTTTCCATTACCTCACCCCAAACATCCATAATTTTATAAACAATCCTAAATTACAGCGAAAGTGTCCTTTTATCTCTGTGAATTTGTTACAGAATAGTTCTTGCTCCTATTGTAAAGTTGGCTTTCCTTCACTTTAAGACACCGAAAGCTATGGAAGGATTTGCTTTTAAAACTGCAAGGTTATCTTTAAAGGCTGGATTTTTTCCTCCCTGCTAAGATCTACAGTATATTGTTACAATGCTACTTTTCCAGATTAGAGTTTTATAGCACAATAAATGCAGAGGTTCTCTATCATTATGATGCATCTAAATGTTCTTTTCCTTTTTTAAGACTAAGGATGTAGGAAAATTGCTTTTTTCGGTAGCAACAAAAAACATACACTCTCACCTCTTCCCTTCTCCCCAACTAGCTATCCCTGATATTAAATGTAATTCCAACTACAATGACCTTCTGACAGGATGATCCAACCATCTTTGATGCCCTCAGATCTAAAATTTCTAGACTAACCCAGTGAAAATATGAGTGCCGTCACCTTTTAGTTTAAAATTGAGCTTTCAGGGAGTGAGAACTTTGAAGAAAAGGCAATAATTAATTTGAAGTATTGTCAGATTGATTCCCAGAAATTAAAATATAAGAGCTACTTGAAAATGAAGTCTTATTTTGATCAAATTACCAGTATTTAAGCAAATGAATAGGCAGTTGAGGGCTATGAAATATCTATGCATATTTCTGAACTGGCAGACTTTCATTTCAGCTAGATATTTGACATTACATATAAAATATAAATACTAATATGTAATCAATTTCAATTAAATTTCTTTCTTGGCTCCCTCAAAGAAATGCTGTTTAAAGTGCTGGTTTTTCATGCACACATGAAACACCTGGTATAATGGTTTTATAACAATGCATTGATAGGTTGTTGCAAAGTATCTCATAAATTAATGAGAATAAGTACTGGCATCCACCTACTTTTCCCTACACCCAAGGAACTTAGGTGAGGTGGAAATTATTAGTCACTAAATGTATGCACTTAAACTTCAAAAAGCCTGATGTGCTATAAAGTGCTGGGATAGGACTAGAGAGAGCCAGGTTCAGGATTCAAATCTACCCTGGATATGAAAGTTCACTGGGTAGCTTTGGGCCAGTTGTTATTTCTCAGACCAACTGTGAGAAGAAAATTTAGAAGAAGGAATGCTATAGATACCACCTGAAGTAAAAGCAGGATATACATTTACTAAACAAACAACTATGTTCATTATTGCTAAGTTATAACATAGAAGTCAACTAATTGTACACTTAGTGTAGTACAGGGGTAGGCAACCTTGGCTCTTTTATGACTCGTGGACTTCAACTCCCAGAATTCCTGAGCCAGCCAAGCTGGCTCAGGAATTCTGGGAGTTGAGGTCCACGTGTCATAAAAGAGCCAAGGTTGCCTACCCCTGGTGTAGTATCTCATTTAAAAAACAGAGACTAATATTGCCTCCAGTAGCCTTGACATATCTTTTTTTGCTTTTAAACCATCCCTGTTAATAAAACATTAGTTCCAACACTAGTAGCCCAATCCCTGGGGCCTTCAGAGAATAAATATATTCTTTGATTAAAATGTGCATCTCGGCAACCAAAAGTTTGCCTCACTTAGTATATAGGCTCAGAAGATTACACTCCAGAAGGTGAACGAAAAATCCACACTCTGCTTTATATATGACTTGAAAATGTAAGCATCAATGTCTAAATCATCACATGTTGGTCTCCTAATACAATTGACCTACTTCTTGGCAGAACTGAGCTTAAAGGTGTAAGCTAAAGAGCACATAAAAATAAAGAATACATACTTTTAACACACCACAGATAAAAACATGCGATGGAAAAATGTTCTGATCCCCTTGTGCACTTTCTTGCAGAATGAGATCTTTGCATCCCGACACCAGGACGAGAACAGTGTGGCCTGTATAGAGGAGAAGTGCTACGTTCTGACCTTTGCAGAGTACTGCAGGTAGGTGGTGCTCTTACCAAGCTTCTTTTAGGGTCTCTGTGCTCCATCAGGAGAGTTCCACAAGACGGGTTGTTTGCTATCTCTCTCTCTCTCTCTTGGTAGTTGTGGTTTGTGAGGCATCAATAATAATAATAATAATAATAATAATAATAATAATAATAATAATAATAATAATAATAGTCAATTGCAAAAGGCGGCCTTACTAGGAACTGCTTCCATCCTGCGACGATATCTGTAATACCATCAAACATCCACATCTGCCTATCCCAGGTCCTGGGAAAGGACTCGATAGGTAGACAAAATGCCAAATCCAGTCTGAACATCTGGCTGACTGTGCGATGATCCACAATAATAATAATAATGTTGGAAGGGACCTTGGAGGTCATTGAGTCCAACCCCCTGCTCAGGCAGGAAACCCTACACCATGGTTGTCCAGTCTCTTCTTAAAAACTTCCAGTGTTGGAGCATTCACTGCTTCTGGAGGCAGGTTGTTCCACTGGTTAATTGTTCTAACTGTCAGGAAGTTTCTCCTTAGTTCTAGGTTGCTTCTCTCTTTGGTTAGTTTCCACCCGTTGCTTCTTGTCCTGCCTTCAGGCGCCTTGGAGAATAGCTTGACTCCCTCTTCTCTGTGGCAGCCCCTGAGATATTGGAACACTGCTATCATGTCCCCCCTCGTCCAGTACGCAAATTGAATGTTCCTCTTATTTATTGGGCCAGAATGGCAGAGAGAGATAGAGAGACAGACAGACAGACAGACAGACAGATGATTGATAGACTGGCATGTTGCGATCAAGCTATTGTGGCATTTTCACAGGTGTCCTAATGAGATCACCTTGGCATTTTTTTTTCCAGACGTTTTTTGTACGTGCCAACTAGCATATGCACACATAGATGACTAAAAGTATTGATCTATGTTTTGCACCAGCCTCAGCAAGGATTGTAGGTTTGGTAATCCAGCATATACAGGAGGCATCAGATTGCCTATTCCCGCTGAAGACAGAGCAGTAAAAAACATACGGCAACCCAGTTGACCCTTCCAGTCCAATTATTTGGCCTTTCAGCTGGATGAGTGTTGATTTTGCTGTATTTTTATGAGTTTTGATATTTTGTATTATGTACCTTGCTATGCAACGTCCATTGTCATTTGTCAGTGTGCAAGAACTGTGAGATAAATAAGTGAATGAATAATATGTACCAAATCCAAATGTCTTAATAAACATGTTTGTGTTTTTGATCTTGGAGTAAGGATGCATGGGAAGGAACAATGGGACCATGCTATTATTTTTCCCCCACTTATTTTCTCAAATGTTTTGCCAATACATGCTGATCCAACTTTTGTAGATCTGGAACCCACAGCTCCAAATCTACAAGAAAAAGAGCAATGTAGTCTACTGTGGGAGATTGGTTCTCTTTGCCTTTTATCATAATGCAAGATTGTGGCACAGTGGTTAGAATGCAATATTGCAGGCTGACTCTGCCCACTGCCAGGAGTTCAATCCTGACTCGCTCAAGGTTGACTCATCCTTCCATCCTTCCGAGGTCAGTAAAATGAGGACCCAGATTGTTGGAGCAATATGCTGTCATTGTAAATTGCCCAGACAGTGCTGTAAAGGACTATGGAGCGGTATGTAAGTCTAAGTGCTATTGCTGTTGTTATTGCTACTGTACAGTAGCTTGTAAACCATATATAGCCCTTGGAAGCCTTCTAGGTGGCCCACCATGGCTCCCAGTAACCTGTCAATCAGCTGGGTGATGGGCAAACAGCAAAAGATTGCTGAAGTTCCACTGTCAAGTGATTTGAAGGTGTGTCACTAAGTGAAAAGAAGGAGGAAGAAAGGCTCATGGCTCCCTTTTTCCTCATATAGCTTGCTTGGGACTCAGCAGTCTTTTGGCTTGGGCCAGGGAGAGAATTTCTCACTATGTGCACGCAGGTATGAGAGACAGCACAGCTCGCCACTAGGCAACCATAATGGCTAGAATAGAAAACAGTGTCTTCTCATTGGAAAAAACTAAATAAATAAATAAAAATAAAAATTTGATAAATCCCTTTGCTGATGTCAGAGTAACCAAGAATGCACTAACGTCATTACCTGGCTGTCTTGCAGATTTTGTGCCTTGGCAAAGCGTCGCGTGGAAGGGATTCCAGGCAAGAAAGCGGTGATGGTTCCTCCTTCTGAAGAGTATTCCACTCCTGCCCATCGCAAGGTGCCAGAGGACACTGATCCAGAGTTGGTTTTTCTCTGCCGTCACGTCTATGATTTCAGGCATGGACGCATCTTGAAGAATCCACAGTAACACCGCTGTGGGGTTAGTGAGCAACGATAGCAGGCCATTAAGGCAGGCTAAGCTCTTTGTCCATGTCGGGGCCTCCTTCGGTGGAGTGCTGCCCACAGGCACTGCATAACAACCCCGAAGCACTCAGTCCTCTACATCTGGGAGCAGATTTCCTGTTAAGGCAGATCTTCAAAGCACAGCACTTCATATAAAAAGCATAAGTGGAAATATATATCTATAAAGAAATGTGTGTCTGTATATAGATATAGGTGCTTGCTTCTGTAAATCTATATCTATATATCTGTACAATGAGCTTCATATACTGGAGGGAGGGGGGAAGGGAGGATAAAAGTGGATAAAAGCCAGTAAACTGAATCTAGAGCCAATCTTGTTGGAGATGAGTAGAACATACTGAAGGAAAACTTCAGTGTAGAAGTGAGTCGAACTATAAAAAAGGTTCCTGATGCCATGTCCTTCTAAAAAGAAGGACATACATGCTTTTGTTTAGTATAATACTGAAAATGGAGATGAGACCTTGGTTTTGGAGCCATTAATATACTGAAAATCCTTCTCATATTTTGCATACATACTACTAGAGAAGGACCACACTCAAGTATTTTGTATTGGGTGGTTGCCCAGTCAAATTGGTTGCTTCAAAGCAGAAAGTGGGAAGGGTGTAATAGATCACCTCACGCCATTGTGAAAAGCTGCATATCCTTCTAAGGTTGAAGCTCTAAGCCAATTGCTTAGCATTAACTTACGTTGACATCGATAGGACCTATTTCCAAATAAATGTCATAAAAATCAGGATATCAGGAAACAGGCCCAGCCTTAAAGATCACGCTTATTGGGCATAGCAATGGTGAGGGTGATATTGTGGCACTTGAAAAGTTCTCAGTGTGAGACATAAATAACAGCTGCTACAACACTGATCTCTTCTCTCCAAAAACTTAGAGAGGCCTGCCCTTTTTTGGGCAGAGGTAATTTACATTTTTTCCTTTCCATATGCCATTTTCGTTGCTCTCCTATACAGTCCTCATAGAACCTGGATTTGCACACTCATTTAACTTGGGAGAGCTAGAAGCCAGAGTTAAGAAATGATAGCATAGTGCTTGAGTGTCAGTCTTTGAAACAGGCATCGTAACCCAACTGAGTCTGCTTTTTGCCTGTCTATCTCTCTTCTCTCCCACCCACCCCAGAATATCTTAACACTGACATACGAACATGCCCCATGATGGCGAGACTCTGGCTTCCAAAAGGAACTGGCCAATGAGAGGTTTGCATTTTGAGAAACTGCTACTTGATTCTCACAGATATTTCTGCCTCTTGCCTTATGTGTATAGCTCTTAGAATACTTTAGTTTAACTTTAACACAAAACTGTTTCAGTTAATTCTAAAGCAAACCAAAGGACAGCATAGGAAGAGTCCACCCAATCAGTTAACACCCAGCTGGGATTCCATTTGTAGATTGCACTAATTCGAAAGGAGAATCAACACTGTATCAGTCCATATAACCTGATGACAGCCAGAGTGGCTCACCTGAATTAGGGACCTATGTAGTTGCTTTTTTTTTTCCTTTTGTGTAAGGGGAGAGGGAGATTTAATTAGTGTTCAGTTATTATTGAAGCATTCTACGGCTTTAATATCGTTATTTTTTTCCAAGTAGAGTTAGCACTATCTTCTGACCCTCAGGCTGGAAGCAAGAGTTTGGCCACCAGTGCTCTATATCTGTTCTGGAGAAAGTAGCCCTACCATATTCAGCTTCTTGTCTGTCGACACAAATGTTACCTGCAGACGTGCTCTACATACCAAAGAGGGGAAACGATGGGGGAGAGCTATGAAAAAGTCTGACCATGGTAGATAGCAGAGATCAGGTGATGATTGCATTCCAGCAGGAATGGGCATGGAATATGCTTGGAGGAGGAATCTTCCACCCTAAGGCTGCGCATGAATTTTCCAAGCTTGCTAGTGTCGGAGTAGCGGCTCCCTTTATCAAAACCGCTGCTTGGGCGCACAGAAGGGCTCTTTGTTAACTAGGGCTACAAAGCATATCTTGTGACGGCCCAGATACAGAGCCGAAGATTCTGTACGACTTTTCTTCATGCCAGGGAAAGCAACCCTGGAGAAGGGAACTGTTTGATGGGTAAGCGTTGGGGACAGTATTACTATATGCTCTGCAGCCATGGCCTGTTCTTCCATTTGCCAGGTCAAGAGGGAAAGGCAGAGATAAAGGGACAGTCCTTGAATGATGTGGGTTGGAGAGTGTACGAAAGAGTCTGACCATGCTGGATAGCAGAGATCAGGTGATGATTGCATAGATCTGATCTATGCAGAATCAGATTCGGGATTATTTTTTTTCTTAACTAGAAATGGGAGAGAAACTCTAGTGCCAGAGAGCCTCCTCCCAAAAAGATATTTTTTTTTTTAGAATTCCTGGTGTGGTGGTGGCTGGAATCCTCAGCATGGTGACTTGAGACCCAGATTCAGGGTGGTCTTCCTGCCCTCATGAAAGAAGATGAAGTTTAGCTTCAGAAACAGAGCAACTTCATAATGTCCTGATTTCTGTGGCTACTTCCTCCCCCTCCTTTCTCTGGCTTCTCCGGGCAGGAAAGCAACAGTTGTCTAAAAAGAAACGAAATAAAAAATAAGTTACCTACCCAATTCCGAAATTAGGGTCGGAGCCCCTTTTCTGGAGAACAGAAACCCCAAACCTTCCCTGCTTCTGATAATTGTCAGAATCTACTTCAGGCCAAGAATATTGTTTTAAAGATTTGTGTAGTTGTTTTATGCTGTTTGCGGACAGCATGTAAATGATTTGAAATGTCTTTATCTTCAATGAAAATATTTCATGCTTTTTTAATCTATTAGATATGGAAATATTTTTGAAACTGAAAAAATGCAGTCAGTAGAATTTAAATTGAAATGTAATACATGTAAAATATATTTTAGTTGATAATTTTGTAAAATGCACTTTTTGTGTCTCTTCCCTTGTTTCCCAGATCTGTATTTCAGTGTTTACAGATGGAATGAGAACATTCCCTATACTCTCCTTCTGTGAAAAAGATATATTAGAAGTAATTCTTAAAAATAAATTTGAGAAATTGTATTGACTTAGAAAACAAAGCTAAAACCGTTGTCTAGTTTTTATTACAGGGGCTGTATGTATCAGTGAGACTGCACAGCAATAGGAAAAGATATCACATTTATTTTATTAATTAAATGGGTAATCCTGCCATATACTTGAAGTGGCTCACAAAATAATGCTATATAAAATACATTTATTCTTCAAAGCTGGGTGAAATCCACCATGCACGTTTTCATCACACAATATTTCATATTAGGAGGGGGACTCTCTGCTTGGTGTCAGCACATCTCTACCGTCTTCTCTCTGGTTCTTGGAGTGAAAAACACATAATAATTGTCAAGCTCTTCTGGCTTCTGATATTCTTCACAACAGTTATAGGTACAAATGTGTTTTAACCTCTCTTGTCTAATCATCAAAACCATGGATCACAAATTCATTTTTTTTTTCATTTTTACGCAAAAAAAATCCCTAAGAGTTATCAGTAAATATAGAAAATTGTCTTCTCTCTAATCAAAGAAGTCAATGTATCAAGTTCAGTAAAGTCTATCCACTTCACCAAACATTCCTTTATAATGGCTAATCTTTCCATTTCTCCGTATGTAGTCATTTCGCTGCAATGATCATACAGTGAAATAATTTTCGATGGCTTTTTTTCCGTTTATTCATTAATCCTAAAAAGCAAAAAAATACAATTTCAATTGAACATTGATCTTTAAAGTCCTCTTTATCGAAGTATGTATTTGAATCCAATTTTTTTTTTAGCTTTTGTACATGTCCACCAAGCATGATAGAATGTCCTTTCATCTTGTTCACGCTTCCGACATACATTTGAAGTGCCTTATACATTCTAGATAATTTCTCTGGCATCATGAACCAACAAGACATCATTTTATAAAAAAATTCTTTGGGATCATAACACAATGTAAATTCCAGTCCTTTTAACCACATATTTTCCCATTGATCCATCTTTGCATTATTACCAATGTGTGGGTAAAATAATTACTGAAAAGATGCTTCCCATCCAGGGAACAAGGAGGAAGTTCTTTTCCTTGGCCTTGTCTTCTCACTATAATAATAATAATAATAATAATAATAATAATAATAATAATAATAATAATAATAATAATAATATAGCAGAATAGATGAGAAAGAACTGGAGAAGATAACAAAATACAAAGACCTACAAATAGAAATAGACTGGCAAAAGCAAGCAAGGGTAGTACCAATAGTAATAGGCGCCTTGGGTGCAATCCCAAAACAGCTTGAGCACCACTTGCACACCATTGGCATTGACAAATTCGCCATTAGTCAATTGCAAAAGGCGGCCTTACTAGGAACTGCTTTCATCCTGCGACGATATCTGTAATACCATCAAACATCCACATCTGCCTATCCCAGGTCCTGGGTAAGGACTCGATAGGTAGACAAAATGCCAAATCCAGTCTGAACATCTAGCTGACTGTGCGATGATCCTCCATAATAATAATAATAATAATAATAATAATAATAATAATAATAATAATAATAATATAATAATAATAATAATAATAATAAAGTTGGAAGGGACCTTGGAGGTCATCTAGTCCAACCCCCTGCTCAGGCAGGAAACCCTATACCTTTTCAGACAAATGGCTTATCCTTATGAGGATAAGTCCTTATTAGGAGCCAAAATGATACGTTAGGGCATTATTTTGTTGCAGTGCGCTACAAATGCAACTTTCCCCCACTTGCTAGTGCAAAAATACATCAGCTGCATTTCTACATTCTGTTATCCAGGACAGTTAAAGCAAGGGGATTTTAAAAGACAGGCAATTAAATGGTAAAAATGTGCCATCTGGTGGCAGAATAGCAATTTGGAGAATCATCTCAGTCTTACACACTTAAGGAGCCAATGAATTGAGCAATCATTGCTTGACATGCTGTGCTTCATTTTTAAAGGCATGAGCCCAGTGGTGGGATTCAAATATGTGAACAACCGGTTCTCTGTGTGGATGCCGCTTACGGAAGTCCATTCTGGGCCTGGGCAACAAAAAATTAGCTACCGGTTCTACCAAAATGGTGCGAACTGGCTGAATCCCACCACTGCATGAGCCTTCCTTTGGCTTTGAATGATGGAGCTAGGATCTGCATATCAAAGAAGGGAGGCGGAACTAGGTCCAAAACTAAATGTATTTTTCATTTAATTAATTCAATGTAGAGAAGGTAAATG